GACGGCGCGTCCGTCGTCGTCATCGTCGCCGGTAGGCTGGGCGCTCTGCCTCGAGAGCGGCGAAGGTCGCTTGGCCGCCGCAGCGGCCGCAGTGTTCGCAGCCAGGCCGCGGCCGCCGCTGCCGCCGGCCGAGATGGTCGAAGAGGTCGACTCGTTGCGACCGTGCTGCGCCGCGCCGGTCGACTTGGCGCTGATGTCGCTTCCCGAAGCCGCATGCCGGCCCGAACGGTCGGACGCCAGGCTGCTCTGACTGTTGGACCGCGGAGGGGCGCCTCGAAGGTGAGCAAGGCCAGCTTGCGCAGAGTTTGACTGGAGGGCCACGGCGGGTCGCGCGTTGCCACTGGGCGCGGTGGCTCCAGCGTGGGGCGACGCCGACGTCGACAGGCCGCGCTTGCGCTCGGGCGCGTGGATTGGCGAGGACGGCAGGCCAGCATCGCGCGCCGATCCAACCGAGTTGGTGCTCGTGGTGCGGCCGCGCGGAGGTCCGCCGCCGGCACTGCCCGTCGAGCCAAACGTCATTGATCCGGCACCGGACGGCGGCAGCTGACCAAACTGGATCGAGTTGGGGGGTGCGCCGGCATCCGAGTTTCCTCGCTGCTGTGGCGTCCTGCGGTACGGGTGGAAGCCGCCCGACGACGAGATGGAAGACGAGGTCGAATGCGAGGGGACGTGCTGGCCGCTAGGGATGCCGCCCGCGCCGCCGCCATGGGCCGGACTCGTGACCGAGTTGCCCGAGTACGCTCGCATCTGCATCTGCTGCGGGCCGCCCGCGAACGCCACACCGGGGTATGCCTGAGGCGAGGGATGCGGCTGCTGCTGCTGCTGCTGCTGCTGCTGCTGTCGGAACGTGTCGTTGTAGGTGATGTGGGGAGGCCTCTGCGGCACAGACGAGGTGCGCCGTCGGTGGTCCGACGTCGCCGAAATCTCGCTCGAGGCGGCCTGCTGGTGGTAGAACTGCTGCGCCTGCGCCTGCAGCATCTGCTGGTACTGGGCCCACGCAAACTGGTTCTGCTGCGGCGGCATCTGGGCAAAGTAGCCCGGAGTCGACTGCCCAAAGGGCTGCTGCTGGAACTGCGGGGGGCCACGGACAGAGGGCAAGAGGGAAGACGAGGTTCAGGAAGCCGCTCCCAGGCGACGGGTGCCGGTCGGCGGCGCCCCACTTACCTGATTGCCAAACATGGGCCAGCTGGGTGCCTGCGAATGCAGCGCGGGTCCTTGGGGTCGCTGGTCGCTGGACGCCTGTGGAAAGCGCAGAGCGCCGTTCGGGCCTGATGGCTGGGGCGGAGCGGCGTTCTCCTGGAGCGGTGACCCGACAGGCGAAGCTGTTCGAAGCGGAGCCTGCGCAAACGTCTTGGGACCGCCGCGCGCCTGACTCTTGTTTTCTGTTGACCGAGGCGGCTGATCGGATCGGGAAGCGGGTCTGGCGGTGTCGGATGAGGCTCGCCCCTTGGCCGCAGCAGCGGCCGACGTCTCTTCGTCGAATAACGTGGTGGATGCAGGTGGCGACCAGTTGAGGCTTAGGGATAGGGCCATTGGGATCTAATACGGAGGAAGGGCGGTGCCAAAATGACACGTCAGCCAGTCTGCACCGGCGGCGAGGCTCGGCGGCGCTTGACGGGTGTACGCCGCCAACCAAAGGAGCAAAAGACCCACCCTGTTCTAAGGTCTGCAATTAGCGCTGTGCGCGGGTGCCGAGCGCCGCTGAGCTTTGCGTAGGCTATGCTCGGGTACCGCACAGGGTATCACGGGGCTGCTGCTTCTGGCCGCACTGGAGTTGCGCCAACGCTCAGGGCCAGGTGGTCGTCGTACAATTTTTCGGTGACTCAGATAAGCAGGAGAGACCGCAGCGAGAGCTTGAAGAAGGTATTCTGGCGAGCCGGCAAGGTCCTGGAGGACGGCAGAAGGTCGCTTGGGTCTTTGAACGAGATAAAAGCGACAGAGAGCGTCGGATCGCTGGCGCAAAGGTGGGAGCGGGCTTGATCTGGGCCTAGCACTTGCTGTGGCTGCGCGTTGCTTTGCAAACGATCAGGAGCGAGTGACGAGCCAGGGCGATTGCTTCAAAGCGATAAGACCCTCGACTGTTTGCCGCCGTGGAAGAGAGGGGGGCGGGTGGCGGAAGGTCTGATATCGTCGCACGGATGCGGAGTTGAGCTGGCCTACCAAGAGCAAGTCGGACGCAGGCGAGCGATGTGGCTGTTGACGAGGGCGAAGTAACGACGTCGACGTCCTGGGCGTTGCGAACGGTCGGGTCGTGATGCGGAAACGGTTGTGGAAACCGGCGACGAGGACGACCGACGACGATAGTGTTACCCACAGCAGGACAGGGGGGGAGAGGTCGACCAGGCGGGTGAGGAGAGACGAGACGCCGGCGGAGAGGGAAGGGACACGGGCAAGGGAGGGCGGAGGGCGGAGGGATGGTGATGATGGTGGGGACTGAGGGGTTTGTGCGAGGTGGATTGGCACACAGATGCTCGGGCAAGTGTCGCGGAGACGCTGGCCGGCAAGGGTTGGACGAGGTTGGACGAGGGAGGTGGGGAGAAGGGAGAGAGGCAAGGCAGTTCGAAGGCCACAGGGCCGGGCAGACAGGCGGTCGGGCGGGCGGGCGGACGGGCGGGCGGTCGGACGGCCGAGCGGGTTGGGGAGCAGCGTCCAGGCAGACCGAGGGGCAGGCCAGAGGCAGGGCGAAAGCGCCAACCAGCCTACTGCAACGCAGCTGCTTAGCTTCAAGTTGAGCGGCGGCGTGGGCGGCGGCAACGGCGGCGGCGAGAGGTCAGGCCAGGCCAGGCCAGGGTGTGCGATGGAAGGCGGGCGGACAGGCAGACCAGCAAGACAGGGCAGGCGAGGCAGGCGAGGCGGGGTTCCGAAGGTGTTGGGCGAGGACGAGAGAGCGAGAGAGAGAGAGAGTGCAGCGGAGGACGAGGAGGGGGCGAGGGAAAGAAGAGAGGAGAGGGAGGCAGAAACGGGGGCACACGGGCAGGGAGAGGACACAGGCGCTGGGCTACAGGTAGGCCGCTAGGCGTACGACCCGCCCAGCCCGGCCTAGCCCTGCCAGCCAAAACCACACGCATGGCGGGCAAGGGGCGGCCAGACCAAGCGAGGCCGCAGAGGGAACACAGGCCAAACGCCCCCTGCCTGCCTGCTCTCTCTCTGGGCGGCCCGGGCCGCGATGCAGCCCAGCGTTCAGCCAGCGGAACGGGCTGACCTGGCCGGCCTTGGCCCCGCGGGTGTGCGTGCGCACGACGGCCGGACCTCGGCTGGCTGGAGCCAAGTTTGGCCCGATGGAGGCGCGATGCCTGCCATCGGGCTCATCGAGGCGGTCATCGGCGACCAGTCTGGCTGCAGCGCTTGTCGCCGACCCCACCCTGCTTGCTTACAGTCAGTACTCCTCCAACCCGTGAGCTCACGAGATGGGTACAGGATGCAGGCTAGGGTAGCGCTCGCGACCAAGCGCGGGTAATCGTCACCGAGGGAAGGACCAGGCGGCAGCGTTCCCCAACGACAATCGCGAGCGCTCTATCTCAAAATAGGCACAGGCAGCGGTCATCGAACGCGCTCGGGAAACCCTGGCGTGCTAGTTTGTGTAGGTGTAGGTCCGGTAGCTCGCGTCGGCAACGGCTCCCGCTGGACGGTGCCGCAGCAGGCGCAAGGTGTGCGCCAACAGGCAGCTATCGTGCGTATTGCACGCGGCGGCGAGTCGTGATAGGAGCACAGTAGTACGTATGGATACGGCTGCGTCGCTGCTGCTTCGTGGTCGACGCCTCGCTACGTAGGCACATACAGCGAACCATGGCTTGGCGCAGGCCTTCGCAGCTGGTAGTTTGACGCCCAATGCAGCCTTGCCGAAGAGGGCGTCCGGGGGTGGGCAGACGGACAACGCGCCTACAGCTCAGCTCGTAGGTGAGAAGAGGTAGTGGTAGCAACGCCGGCCGCCCCGCCTACTGTAGCCAGGCCAGGCCAGGCCATGCTGTACGTACGTAACCCCCGTGTCCGTACCGTAGTCCGACGCTGTTCGGCCCCGCAATGAGAAGCTGCGCCCTGACGGTGCCAGTTCGACTGCCTACGAGCACTCAGGCCTGGCTGGAACCTGCTCGCCCTGCCTCTCGGCCTCACGCACGGCTGGACCTACGGCGACTTCTTGCTCGCTCCGGGCCGCCCAACACGTTGCACGAGCGACGATGAGGTTGGTCGTTGCGATGTCATCGTCCTGCTCCTCTCAGATAGGCTCTTACGCTTGATTCTTGTTCGGGACCAAGCGATCTGAGCGGCCGTACGTCTGTGTCGCTCCGGGCTGCGCAAGCAGACAAGGGCCGGGCACAACGGCTACGTCGCCGATCGCTCTGGTGTGAAACGCGCAACCACGGCGGACCGAGCCCAGAGCAAGTACATCCGTCGACTGAGCCAGCGGTACCGCCGCTCGAGCCGCCGCTCCAGGGATCGGCATTGAAACGGCCACGGACCCGTCAGCCCATGCGTTGTGTTGCCTGCGACGCGAGCAGAGAGACGGCGAGGTGATGACGGGCAGAGCATCGCCCCCCTTCCAAGTCCTGCGCCTTCTACAAGGTCGACGGACGGCTCGTCGACATCTTGGTCAGCTCAGTGCGCATCCTGAGAGAGTGCTCCGCCCCTCTGGACCGTCACACTCAAAGATACGAAGGCGTCGTCGGCGACAGCCTACAGCCCGCCTGCCTGTGACGGCGTGGCAGAGAGTCTGCGCCTTGCGGCCCGGGCTTTGCCGACGGAGCCCGCGGCCGGCCAAAGCGCGAAGTAGGGCGCAGCCCCTGGAAACCGAAACACTGCCCTTGGCTTCCCGATGCAGGCAGATCGAAGCTCTCAAGATCTCGACGGCGCGTCGGAGTTTGCTCGAGGCCTGGCCTCGGTGCCAAGTGGCAGCTTCGACTGCCTCAACCGGCGCTCGTATACCGCCGTGCGTCCAATCTCTTCCGGCTCTGCCTCGGATGTCAGCCCTCACTTGGCCTCGGCCCGCAACCAGCCAAGAGAAGCAAAGCAGTGCCGCCGATGCAGACACGCAACCGCAAGTTGCGCTCGGATTCGGCCCCCCCCCTCGTCATTGTACAGGCGATTTCCCGCCGCTACGGTACCGTACAAAGCATGCACCAGAGATCGAAACGGCGACGCCACGTCGCGAAAGCGGGAGAGGATGCCGGCTACTTGGCATCGCCCGCACCATCGGCCTTGGGTTTGCCGCTGGCCGCCGCATCGTCGCCGGTCTCGGATATCTGGCCTTCCTCCTCGTTGTCGGCCTCGCCCTCCTCGACCTCGGCGACCTTTGCGGGCTTGGCCGCTGCACCATCATCGCCGCCGCCGGCCCCTTCCTTTGGCCCCGCGGCGCCGCCGCTGGCGGGCTCGTCGACGTCCATGTCGCGGCGCGACTCGTCGGCGCCAGAGTCGGCCTCGGGCTGGGGCTTGGGCGGCGTGCCACGCGACTCGGCCTTGGTCGGCGAAGGCGCGCTGTCCTTGGAAGGCGACCGGCTCGGTGCACGGTGGCTCGCCGTCGGCGGCGGCGGCGGCGGCGACTTGACGCCCATCTCGGCGTCCTCGGCCTCGTGGGCGCCGTTGCGCGGCTTCAGAGGCGACGACGGGCGCGCGTCGGGCCGCGGTGGGGCATCCACCGAATCTTCGGATCGGCCGGGCCCGGCGCCGCCGGGGCTGGCGCCGTTCCTGGCCCGCTTGGTCGATTCCTCGAGGGAGCCGGCCGACTCGCCCTCGTCGTAGGGCCGCTTGCCCAACGCGCTCTCGGCGCGCGCACGAGGCGGATAGGGTGCGTCGGAGTCCGATGCCTTGCGCGGGCTCGAACGTCCGCTGGGCGGGCCGTCCCACGCTTGTCCCGACTCGTGTCCTCTCGGCGATGGCTGCTGCGACTCGCGCGGCTGCTGCGGTGCCGAGGGGGCTGGCATCGAGGCCGAGGCCGAAGCAGCGCCGGCCAGGCCCATGAGGGCGTCGGCCGCGCCTTCATCGTAGTCTTCGTCGACGACCCGCGAAGGTCCGCGGG